TGGGTACTAGGGCCCGCAGTAACTGGCGCAAGCTGTTGCGGGGTCCCTGCCTGTCGGCGCAGCTAATAGATTAAATTAAATTAAACTAACGAAGAACAAATTAAAGTAATTTGCAATATGTCCTTTGAATCAAAACTTTTATTCACAGTGGTAATCTCTTTTTCAGGTGTAAGATAGCCTGCCTCTGTACTTTTCTATATTGCTTCCAGAAGACGAAAAACATTCAGGAAATGTTAATTATGGAACAACAAGTTTTCAAATACAGTCCACTAGTCAAATGGCAATCGAGACTGCTCTGTCCAACGCTTTCTTGGTGCAAAAGAAATTCATCAGGCAGAGAAATTGATTTATACAGTTGACTGACTACTGTATATCACACTGAACACGGCTCTACAACCTTACCGTCAAAGTGGAAATCTTGTCAACCAGAGGCTTGTAGGCAATTAATTCCCTGATGTAATGACCAACATCAATAAATTTCTCGAAGAGGTCTGGGGGAAACAACCTGTGAATCAAAAGAAGATCAACATAAAGATTCTCACCACTCCCAAACTCTGCCCTAATTCAAGAGTATTAGATCTCTCAGTGACAACTTGAGCTGCAATTAAAAGTGTATCTCACCTCTTAAAGAGTTGACGATTTCGCTCCATACTAAACAAGAATCTGCAGAGAGTTAAGCACAATAACTCCTCAAGAATGAAGGTTACAGGGCGTTATTTTGGAGCAAAAGAACTTAATACTACTATTTAATCTGTTTCCAGGCGGGACAATGTGGTTTCCATAACATATGAGTAATGTATCAATTTTTTGGAAAACGTTGGAAATATAAGCAAACAAACAGCTCAAGGAATCTTAAAATACGCCTTTACTGAAATGAAATTAAATGTATTTGAGGCATCATCGCTAATTACTTGTAAAACTGGAGTACGTATCAACGAGTATCAACGAGTAGAAAACTTAAATTAAAACTGAAGAAAAGAAACGTTCTCTGCGGTTGGATCTTATAAGGTTCGTACAATCACCTTTGCTTGAGGGGAGATGATGTATACACTACCTACAAGACAATGCACAGAAAAAAAAAAAGACCAACCTCAAAGCCCTGAAGGCGCTTATCTGTGAAGAAAAAAATTACAACTAAAGTAAGTCCAAGTAGACAAAGATTTCCAGGTATAGTACCATGCGTTTTGATGACAAAGTGTTACGATCCACATCTGTACTTGCATTATAACACTTTCCTAGCGTTTTAGTTCACACCTTTGATGTTTGATGTCACGTTGTAATTAGTACCCGCTTTTGTATTACATCATACTGTAAATATTTTATTCATCTACTTGTCTGTTACTCATTGATTGAAGATGGTATAAACATGCCCAAACACGTCTCTCAAACAAGTTGTCTATTCCTTACAAAAAACAAAAAAGCACAAAAAAAGTGTCCGTCCTACCTGAAGATGTTCTACAGTAGCGGCTTCCTCAGAAGACGACGTTTCTTGGGGCAGAATAAGTAACCCCAGCAGGTAAATACCGTTGGACTGAAACAGAATAAAGAATTACATGTACTTTAAAATCAATCTTTGAGACGTGAGCATATAGAATGTGTATTGCAAACCTGTCTGTTCCATGAAGTAACTCGTCGTTAATGATCTGAAAACGGTCACCTCCCACTAATTATTGTTTTCTACTCGTTGATACGTACTCCAGTTTTACAAGTAATTAGCGATAATGCCTCAAATACATTATACTTTTTGTCGCAAGTTTGATGTGAGATGCGGTGGACTGGAACCTAGCGCTCTGGACTCAGAATGAAGAGCTCCAAGTTCATTGCTGTCTGGCCATTGCGTTGTTTTCCTGAGCGAAAAAGGTGCCTTGAAATGACTTTCTACACCTTACAGTGTACCTGAACACCGAAAAACTTTCGAAGAAACACAATTACTTTCCGAAAGTTGAAACGCAATGGATAAGAAGCATTTCCAGAAGTAGTAGCAGTATCCCTGATACGTACATGCTAAAGAAATCTGACAAACTTCGGCGGTTCAGAGGGTAAGATTTGACTTTCTCTTGAGAGAAAACACATTCAGCTTGTAATCCTCACCTGCACAATTTGCTGTCCATTAGTGTCATTCACAACAAGCTCAGTCAGGGCAGAACACACAGCTACACGGGAAAACAAAAAAATAATAATAAACAAACACTCAGACCGGTTCATTGAGATTTTAATTGAAAGTTGCCACGTGTCAACAAAATGAAGTTGCAGTTGAGTTAAACGTGTCTGAAAGACGATTTGAAAAAGAGATCTGAATAATATCATTTTTCAAAGTGTTATTCTAATACCAACAAAAACAAACATAAAGTTATCCCTCAAATAAATGCTGCCTGGCTTGCACTAGCTGAGATCTATAATATCTTCTTCATTCATAGTAATTCCCTTGGTACATTATTGTATGGGGAGGGAGGGGTGGGAGGACAAAGTCTCCATAACTCACCAATTTTCAAAGGCATGGTGTCTTCTCCTGAATCAGCCTCAGTCTGCTAAAAAAAAACACAGAGACGATTTTAATTAATGGAACAGTTTTCAGTGCAGTATATTGAGGGAAGAGTCAAATTGTTTTCCGTTTCAATGATTCAGCCCAAAATCTGAGGCAAAAAAACTTGGGATGCTTCAACCTTCATGCTTTATAGCTTATTCTATTGATTTTTACCTGTCTCTCTTTAATTAGAATGTTGCCTTTCATCTAGATAATGTTGTTAATTTGAAAGGGTCATTCAGCACCACTGATACTTTAGCTTCTTGTGGTACTTTGATCTTTAAACCTTTGCAATTTTTTTTTGTGGTCACGACAAGAAAATACAGTGTACAAGTACATTCAGGTTAAAACAGATTCACTTGTTACAATTTAACATTTAATTTGGCCTGCACTGTGCACATGTTAACAAGATCACATACTAGGTTACATTACATATTACTGTAATTTACCTCTGCACTGATAGATGCCTTTGAAACTGTATCAGAGCCCAGGTATAATACCTCGGTGCTTGGCTCTGGCTTGCGATCTCTGCAAAAAGCAGACAAAATAATTTAACAACTTCTTTCCTACTCATTTCACTCCACAGTCTCTAAAGTTGCTTATTTCATTAGCATGCAAACAGTATGCAAAATGTATATGAGAACGATCCTTCGCAGTAAAGCACTATTTGAGCAATAGTGAAAATCAGACCTGAAAAAAATTTCAGGCCTGTACGGGATTCGAACCACTGACCTCTGCGATACTAGTGCAGCGCTCTACCAATTGAGCTAACAAGCCAACTGGGAGCAGGCCATCAAATTAATTCGACATAAACCCGTAGATGATAAATCAAACAACAACAAACATATGAAACATATGTGTGAACTGCGGTTATGAGACGTATATGAGCACGATCCTTCGCAGTAAAGCACTATTTGAGCAATAGTGAAAATCAGACCTGAAAAAAATTTCAGGCCTGACATTTTGCCTGTGTGCAAAATGTCACACAGAGTGAGACACACTAGGTTATGCTTGTCACATTGACATTCAAACTCTTATCTAGGTCTAGCATGATTTGTTTAAAGCACAACCAAATCTAACCCAGGTTTAATTGCCGCAGAAATGTATAGTTTTTGTAAGCAGTTGATCCTTAATAAGTTTTAATTGGGTTTTGTACATTACCTAGCCCACACAATAACAACTCTCTGTCACGAATAAACAAAATCTTTTTATACAACATGAACCCATCCACAGTCTAACAGGAGTGACCAGTGGATTAATACTCTCTACTAGATCATTACATTACAAGGCACAGGAACCTTAAAAAAATTATCCAACAAAGGATATTTTTTGGAGGACAGAAAAGAGAATTAATTTTGAATCTTGCTTACTGAAGGAGAGCCAGCAGTAGAGGAATTCCACCCAGAACTCTGATGTCATTGCTAGAGTCACTATCTTCAGCCAGTTGTACAATAATCCACACCTTACAAGAAGCAAAATTAAAAAATTAGCATGAGGTAGGAGGATAAGTCAATGAAAGCAAGAAATTCAGCGGGACCAGTTATGGACTGACCTTAAATATATACTTACCACATTCCACAGAAGCTTGAGGTTGTCACAGTGTAGCAAGCTGAAGAAATAATTAAAAGACTGTTGTTAGAATGTAAATGCATGGCACAAGGCAAATAACTATACTAAGAAAATCTTGTACACGATCAGACCAAAAAAAAAACAACATCTACTTTTAAAAACCCCTCCATTTTTGTCTGACCACACAAGATATGTTAGCCAGCATTTCTGAAAAAATCAACTGTCTCTGTTTTTAAAGTTTTAAAATGCAGTTTAAGCATGGGCTTAAGGATAAATGGATGAAAAATCTTGAGTCTGTTCTAAAAAAATCATTCACTGAGGTTTATGTGGACAATGCCTACAAAAGCTTCTCCAATGTTTCTTTTGTTGACACAAACCAAACATGTAATTCTAGAAGATATTTGTTTCAAAGATAGAACTCCAATTAAAAATTTTAGCAAAGAGTAAGGTACTTAAAAAGAAGCATTTCTCACCTCAGACAAATTGGGATTCCATCAAAGACCTTAACTTGCTCTCTGATATTGCTGTCAGCACACAGTATTCTTAGAAGACCAGCTGCCAGACTAAGACAAATATTGATGTGAAAGAAAATATAAGGGTTGTAGAAGAATCCAATGTTTATCAAAATAACACAAAGGAAAAATAAGAAGTGCAGATATGTAAATTTATAGGAGTCCAACTTTAACAAAGAAGGGATCAATAAGTGAATAAATCATCTGACCAAAAGAACCATTTGACTGAAAATAGACACAATAAGGGGGATTCATATAAGCCTCTCATGATTGCATCTACACATAACTTACGTTTTGGAAAGAATGTCATATTCCTGTAGTATTCTTAAAAGAATCTCTGCGCAATTTAATTCACCAATCAGAGCTCGAGGTCTCTCACTATTTTTAAAATACGAAAAAACATTTCATTAATTAATACAAACTGTAACTGGGGAAACTGAGTGTATCATAACATGGTGTAACAACATTGATGGTCATTCAACACTGTCTGACATTAATATTACTGGTAAGAGTAACTTGCCTCTTGCACACAATTTTGAACTTTAAAGTTTGTACATAGTCATGAATAATGTATTATATAAGTTATGTAGCTACTGTACAGTTTATGTAAGATCTGTTTCTGATGTATTTCCAGAGGTGAAAATGATATCTACATAAAGCTAACCTTTGGGCCAAACCAATCAGGGCATACAAGGAACAATGAAGTACCATTACATCACTGGCAGATAAAAGGAGGACAAGAGCCTAGGAATACAAGGTACAGCATATATATGTTATGCAGGTACATGTCACACATTACTAACTTAATGTACATGTACATAATAATTTGGATATGTCAACAAAGTTGAAATGGTAAATTGGCCACTGTAACGATTACAAAAGCTGACGTTTCAAGCAAATAGAGGAATTGTGGGTTGTGTTAATGTACATGTACATACTTTTTGGCACTACCATGTTCATAAATGCGATGTTGAGACACCTCAGAGAGAGATACAGTGTAAGAATAGTGTGCAAACAGTTACCCATTTAGAACTTGGACAAATAAAGCAAATGGCAAAGGTGAATTTGCAAGCAGTTCTAGTGGCTAGAATGGATTGAAGGGAAAGTGAGTCCTCTGTTGGATTCCTATACTAATTGCTGTCTTTTTCTTTGCCATAAAATTCCTACTTCCTTGTTCCAAACTGATGGTTCTTGGCAGACCTAGAAAAAAATTTGCAGGATGTTACATTGTACATACCTTATGAGTACAACATGCCACAAGCCACTCCCTCTGTTTAACATCTGCAGCAAGTTTCTGACAAATGTCTGAAGAAAAGATAACACAAAAGCATAAGATGACTCACTAGCTTTGATGCAAGAGCATATTCCAGTTTCCATAGCATAAGATGATTACAGGAACATGTACTTGCACTTAAATTGCAACTCCTCCTGGATGTGTTACTATAATAAGTTCAACTCCCTGTTCCCTCTGCATTTTTTTTTTTTCAGGCTTTCTCAAGCCCTTTGCTGCTCCTTGTTTTACTCCTGTAGCAAAGAGGTATATCTCTAAAGCACACGATTTGCATATTAAGTTTTAAAACATGATGTCAAAAAAAAAAAAAACAAACACATATCTCTGATTACAGAGAAATTATAACTGCTACAGTACATGGTAAGATCCTTACTTGTCATTTCCTTCAGAATGTCAACAGTAAATGGCTCTTCTCCCGTCTCAAGATAAGTTTCTGTCAATAGTTGAAGTCTCTGTAAACAAACAGGTGAAAAAAATAATATTTCTGTTGAGAAAATTCCAGAAAATTGGATCTAGAGCAACTAACACTGCAACAAAACTTCACAGAAAGACATTTCACCAAGAACTCAATAGGGGTAGTAGAATTATACAATGAGCACATGTTCTACTTAATAAAGATGACAGACCAGTCTAAATCTGTTACATGAGAGGCTGAATTTTTCTTTCATCACATTTTTTCCCAGTCATTCTTTGTGCATACTTGTACAGTTTAGCTATCTTCTGCAGCCCAAGTCCCTTCCCTCGTGCGCAATCAGCAACTGTAAACTTCATATCAAGACAAATGGCCAATTTCTCTCTTAAAGGGGGTTTTAATAATAAGCTATTATTGTATAATTGAGTGAACAACTGTCATATAAATGGGTACATCACCCTCTTAGAACAAGTTGAGCAGTGCAATACTAAGAGGTCACCCTTGGTTCATATTCAGACACAAGTCAACTAGTATTATTTTTCTTTCGTTCTTAAATTATACTTGTTGAGTTCACTTGAAATATAAACAAACTAACCTCTGCCAGGACTTTCACACCACCTAGATTGAAAAACTCCACCTGTAAAAGGAATAAATAAAAATCCACATTTTATCACTGATGGTTACACAAACAAGAATGCAAAGGCAAACAACTTCTAAATATGTAAATGTACGCTAGGTTTAAGTCTGGCTCTAGCTGAGACCTCGCCACCCTGAGCACAACCTACATGTACTGACTACGAAGCCTCTTATCATCTTCTGCATTGATAAATTAAAAGTTGTAATAAAACCGAAGAACAAACCATCAAAGGTAAGACCAGAGAACCAAATTTAATCAAAACATAAAACCTGAAAAATCTTGAACAATTCCAAATTTTGTGGTAGAACTCCGAAGTTTTTTGCTACACTCTGGTAAAAGACTATAGGCATAAAACTCCAAATGTAGAGCCCCTGACTTGAGACCAAAATTTGTTTTTAGGTTCAAACTTTCTGTTGCTTTGTTCAAAGACTTCAAAACTACAATGCAAGAAACAAAACCTATGACTCCAATTTGTTTGTCAGTTTTATTAAAGTTTGACCATGCCTTTTTAAATCTTTGTTCAGTACTGTTGTAATTACCTGAAATGTGTGGTCTCTCATCAGCATTCGGAGGCATATTAGCACCCGCAGAATATTTTCTGGAGGAACTCGTTCGATCCACTCCCTAATTAAGACAGAGGAAAAAAAACAAATTCTTTAATCATGTTGTTATGCTATGTTATGGATTGCAAAAAAAAATATATGTAATATCTAAAAATAAAATGATGTCAAGTGAAACATTTTCCTGCAAGTTAATTTTCAAACAACCAGGGCTCAATTGACACTAATGGTAGCCCACTAGCCGTAGACTAAGTAGAAATTCAGTTTTGGCTATTGGTTTTCAATTTCCACTGGCCAGTTTGGCTAGTAAAAAAACACAAGACTAATTTGCATCCTTAAGTGAAGCCAAGAATGTGTATTTACATACATGTGCATAAAAGAGTAATAATAATGCCCACCATTTTAAAAAAGGTCAACACTTTTTACTGTCAGCACTGATACTTACAGGTAACAAACACGCTGCTTGACAAGGGCTGTGAAAATCTACACAGAAAGACCACAAACGCGTCATGTTTGCACTCAATAAGAACTTGTTATCCTCACTTAGATGCAAACCACTATTAAGTAATGCATACAAATCCTTTATACCTGCCCTTAGTATTTGAGTCAACAGAAAGAATGGGGTTTTAATCTAATTTTTATTGATGCCATGATTTCCTTTGATCCTGTTAACTACAAGTGATCAAAGGCATTCCAAACATTTCCAAAGAAATACCCATGAGTTCCAACAACACCTCTTTTCTAAGACACTACCATCTAAGATCATATGAAGTTCTAAGAACAGTATAATAATTTGCACTTTCTCTTTTTTAATCAGTTGTTTGGCTACACATGACAACCAGGTTGGCAGGCAAAAGCTGCCTTGAGATTGCCAATTACATCTATATCTCCAATTATGATACTCACGTCCAAATTGAATGAGTATTAGTGGGCATAATCACATTATATACAGTATGTAAACCAGCTAACTGCATACAAATGCATATACATATGTACATGTACATCATGTATCATTACAGTCTGTAAGCTATAAAATTACACTCTTCTAAAGAGTTCCTAACTGACCTGGTTGAAGTAACTGTTGAGGGCATGTGAACTGAAATTCCTGACTCCCTGGTACCTGGAGCTGTTGATTAAATAGAGAATCTTGTCACAAAAAGAAATTGGATTTTCCTTCTTACACAGGGGTTTCATTAAGGGCCTGGGCACTGGGAAAATTGACCAGTTGTGAGGATGGTTTTCCCCACCTGGTTTGACCATCTGGAGGAAAGTTTATCTTATAAAAAAGTACAGTTAAAAAAGTTTTGCCCACCTGTGAAAACCAGTAGCCCTACTGCTGAAAACATTTATGAAACCCCTGCCTACAACTATAAAACCTCAGGAAGTAAATTACTTTGTATAAAGAATTCATTCAAAGTTTTCCCAACATAAGCAGGAACACTGCCTAGTACATCTACTTGCATGCCAAAAAAGAACCACAACATGAGCAATGAATTTTTTTTTATTTAATTGAGTGGCTTAGAATGATGAGATTATGCAGATAGTTTCTTAGTATATCACATAAAATACCCTTAAAGTAATATTATTAGATAGCCTTTGATCTTCTTGCCAACCAAGTTTTAAACATCTGTTATAAAGTTTGTTCCACAAAACACATGCTTTATAGCATTTGACTGTCATGAATTCCTCTTTTTCTTCTTTTAATTCATGTCATTCTTGAACAATTTTCATTTCAGATCAAGTAATGCATTACTATAAGTTACAGAGCTGCTTGTTATTCTTTGGTTTGGGCTCTTTTTAACTAATTGCAAGGTAAGAATCATTAGCTGATAAGAGAAACTTGATGTTGTTTAATGGTATTATCTATAAAAACACTAAAACATTTTAAACTATTTAAGGAAATGTAGGGAATGAAGAATAACTTACCAGTAAATGGGTCAAAAGTTTTTTAACCATAGACACATTCAAAGTATATAACAGAAAATTTAAATTTTAGTAATCAGTCAACCAACAAACCAATTTATACCTAAATTTCTCCAAAGCCAGAGCTTCAGTTGACTGGTGTTGATGAGGTAGCACCCCATTTGCCTGTGCAGCCCATGGATTACTTGGTGTGTTCTGATTTTCATCTGGGATCCAAGAGATTGAAGGGAGCTAGAAAGTAAAGGGGTCAAAATGCAAGTTCAATAAAATTCCAATGAAGGACCTGAAATGAACACTTTTGCTATATAGTGTCTCTAAATTGAAAGTAAATACCACAGTTCCTAATTTACACCTTCAAATACCTGTAAAAAATTACACTTATTCGCCACAGTAGTTACAATGTACTGGATGGAACATGATTGCTTGTTTGAGGAAATATGGTATGTAACATATGTACCTGTTGTTTGCTGGCAGGGGTGTTTAGCAGGTCTAACAATCTGGATAAATCTTTTTCTTCATTATCCCTAAAATGAAAAGAGTGACAATTATTAGTTATATTCCCATTAATGATATCTACAAGATACCTCAATGCGTGGCAGCTAAACCTGGATTTGGACTTAAACAGGCTAAATAAAAATCTCACTTAGCAGCAGAGTTGACATAATCTCCTTACATTTCTTGCAAAAGAAGAAGGCCAAGAAGTTAGGTACTTGCAAGAAAGCGAGGACACTCTTGCATAAAATAGCAAGGGGGTTCACATCTTGCTGCCAAATTACCCATCTCACAAACCCAATTCTTTTGCTAGACTCTAAATGCAGACTTCTTTTGCTTACAGACAGCAGAACAACTAAGCATTGGGTAGAAGTAAACTGTCTTTCAAGGATGGTTATCTTTCTTATCCTACAGAAGTGTCTTTCAAGGGTATATACACATCACTTACAAGTCTGTTACATGATGAAGGTTTAACTTAAGCACAAAATGAAACAAAAACAGCTCCAATCCTTAGTAACATACACATACTAGTCTTTGAAAAAATACTTCAGAAGATAGCGCCATTATGTATTCAATCATGGCAAAGGCAAAATACCTAACCATTAGGCTCTGGGTGAAAATGTAAAGTATGTTTATCAGACAGAGTATCATTAATATTCCAGACTCGTTTAATTGAGGCTATAAAACTTAAATGCTTAAAAGGAAAAGGACTATATAGGCAGCTTTAAAGATTGCCATTTAACTACTCTGAGACCAAACTGTAGACTTCCTGGGGATGTTTATATTTCATTTGGAGTCACTAAAGCGATACGGATGTTCTGAAGTTATTGTATTTCCATGATTTCCTTCAACGGATAGAGATTTAAGGTGCTGCTGTGTTGAAGGCTATGTCGGAAATTAACGAAGGAAAACCAAAGTGTCTAACTGGTTCACAGGCACTATCGAAATACATCAAGCCGATCACAGCTTTCCCACAGAGAAATATTTATTACATCTTTGTTCCGTTTTCTAAAAAAAACCGGACCACATACAAAGAATTACAATTCTCGAATATCGTTAGCGATTCTGTGCACTATTTGAATAAATTGTTGAGAAAGAGAGTTTGCGGTTACACACAAAATGATTCTATTTGGTATTCAAGTTAATTTCACAATTCGCCGGTTATTATTCTCAAACACAGTCTATTTACATAATACTTAATTAATAAAATAAAAATTGTTTGAAATACACACACTTAAAAAAAAAAAATGGCGCAGTAATCTTTCGTTACAAGAGCGCCCACAGATCGATATGATTGAAAACCACTTGACAAAGTTTATGTCTAATCGATAACTGAGGTATCTTGTCGATACATCAATATATTAACATGCAAGTCAACGCTTTCGTATTCTGAAAGGAAATTACCCATAATTTTGCGAGCAGGTTTTAATAACAGTGCAGGCTTAGAACACCTAACAACACATAACACAGTGATTCTTCATTTAATGCTTCTCGAAGCGCTTTCGTATATAATATATGCGAATTAAAGCCAATCAAGCGCAAGCGAAAAAGCCAACTAGAACTGCACGTTCGCAAAATTAGTAAATACCCTTGGGCAAAACAAGTTGTATAATTAATGATGTCGTAGCTAGTTCACATAATATATTCTGTCCCTTGACAACCACTACACAAATACGGGTTCATTCTCAAATTTTAAAATGATACAGACATAGTCAAGTAACCCATATGAAGACCATAACCATCCCGGTAATTAAAGAGTTTGACACGACCCGAAAACGCAAGCACTTGAAATCGAACGAAAAATTTCACAATGCGATTTTGGACAGCTTACCTATTCACCGCAGATGTCTGTCCCTTGTCTCTCTTCTCCTCCACAGGCATTTTGAGTTTAGTAGAGTCCCGGGGTTTCTTTTGCCATGGTCACGAAACCAAAAACCTGTTGATGTTGTAATCATACACAAAATATGATCGTTGTACGGCAGGTTTTCCACTTGCTCGACAACATAAACATTTTAATCACTAGCCTTTCGAGAACTAAATTTTCGAGGTTTCTGCGATGATTTTGTGTAGATTAACCACCGTTAGGAAGCTGGGAAATTCAAAAAAATATCCTGATGAAAATATTTACCACCTGGCTAAACAAACGGACCGAAGTTAAGACACGTCGACACAGCTATCATAAGACTTACTCTGTTACTTCTCGCAACCAAAATCCAAATACGATCTTGTTTCGCTGTAAGATCGCAAGGAATTTGAAAAGCTCCCTAAAAATTTAAAGACTTACCGAATAGAGGTTGGTGAATCGAGTCCAGCTATGATAAATTCACTGTTCTACACGTCTTGTACCAAAACTTTCAACTCGATTCGTCGAAAGGAAGTACGTCAAAATCGACAGGAAATGACCTCTGTGTCGACTTATGTCTGTTGTTCGCTAAATGCAAATTATTTTACCTCTAAATATACACCGCAGTGACCTTTTAAACACGACCAGGCGTTATATCTACGTCTGAAACTTGTAAAAGGGTAGCTTCCCTGTGTTTAACATTCTTGCCTTGTTGTGGTGGTTTATCTGAGCTTACTAACTGATCGACAAATCGATTCAAATTTCTGCGCCATAACAGAATTTTGAGTCGCCACCAAACGCTGCATCAATGAATTTAATTCTCTCCATCAAAACAGGTCGTATAATCAAAAGGATTTAAACACCCTCCGGGAGAGAATATAGGATGCTAGAAGAATAAAAACATGGTCACCCGCAAAACTTTCCGCAAATGATCTCCAAATTAGCTTGTTATAGTTAACACAAGGATGTATCTTACACGTAAACCAGTAAAACTAACCAGAAAATTCGCGACCGCATCTACCAAATGCCTTCTTTGCCTGGCGGCGTAAAATTACCCCAGATTACAAGGTTTCGACCCTGCATTTTCCCTCGTAATGTGACTTCAAGGTCCGCTCCGTAAATTTTTACTCATGAAATTAGCAAAGCAACGTCAATTTCTCAATAATAATATTGTCACATTTTAACCAATCAAACAACGGTAAGGGACAATGGCGCGTAATCTCAACCAATCAAAACTGCGTCTTCTGAAGTCGATGATTAAACCTAGTTTCTTGTGAAGGAAGAAATTTCAGCTGTCTAGAGTGGAGAGTGCATATTGATTTTTCTCTTAAAATACTCACTACCTTTTATCCGCGTTCCTCAAAATAATTACGTCAGTAATACCCCTGTCTGATTGTCGAAGTCATAAAATATTTGATCAGCAAAGGGATTTTTCCAGAAATGAAAAAGATAAATTGTAAGAAGTACGAAATTGGTGGTATATAGCAAGTTTGAAAACGAAGATTGAAGTTCAGTATGAAAACTTTGCGCATCCCGTGGATCATCCATACCGACTGCACAACAACAAATATATCTAGCAAGGAAACTACTTTTAATTAGTACAATCAGAAATTCACAAGCATGATAAACATCAAAATTTTCCAAAATTTACACCTTATCTTTAGGTCTACTTTTCAAGATTACAATTAAATAAGCAACTGAGCCAGACGCTAGTCTCGATCAAAGTCGTTTTTTGGATGTCACGCAGCTCCCATTGAGCGTTGCGTGACTCCTACAGATCCTGCGGAGGCACCCACAAGTATAACATAAAAAAGTCCGTGTTAAAAATAATTATTTTACCTTTCTATAGGGGCAAAACAAACAAAAATCAGGAGATCATCTTTAAAAAAGGAATATATTTCTGACAGAGGGTATTTACATTTATTTTCCTCTCTCGAGGGAACCTAGTCCTCTCTGGCATACGGATGGTGGGGCCGATATGTAAGAATGGAACACGATTTATTCCCACAGTTATAAATGTAACAAAAGCGATATTTTATACTCGTAAATTGCCAACTTGGAAGGCCGTGATAAGTAAACTGGTCGATTGTGCACCGTTTTGTGTCCAAAAGGGGAAGATACAAAATCAGCACGGATTCCTTCTGCATTGGTTCTCTTTCCCGACATCGCGTGTCTGTCAGGCCAGGACACCTCACAGCCTTTTGACGGTTCCATGAAAAGTCCTGTCGAGTGTTACTGGTTACAGCCAGCTCAATTCAGCTTCATTTCCTTTCTGGAATGGTTACTTCAGTGCTCCGTCGGATGGTGCGGTTTTGCATGTCTCCATTCGTCAAAGTCCTCCGGTTACCTGGAAGGAAGCATTTAGACTGAGTGGGTGGCCACCATCCCGCTTGAGGCATAATAGTACTTTTATGCACAATTCGTGGGCACTATGCGCTTTTACAAAAGGACGCCAAAAAAGAAGAAGGTGAAAAAGCAGAAAGTAAATCAATCAAAAGGACGTAGGCGTCGAATTTTGGGCAGCTCCTTCACCAACCCCAAAAAACAGATTCATGGCTCTTGGTGAAAGTCAGTCTTACAGACATGCAAACTGTGATAGCCAATTATGACTTCAATGTTTGTAATCATCGCAAGCTACTCCCAAAGGAAATTTGTGCTGGTGTCCGTCACTAAACTAGGAACCAAACGGGGACATAGTTTCAGCCCAGGTCTGTTACTTTCGTTATTCAAAAACAAAAACTTACCTTCTGGCAAGAAAACAGAAAGAGGTTAACCTTGAAAAAGGAAGAAAATACAGCAGCCAATTTACGGAGGATCATCGATTTCAACATACCTGTCCACGTAAACAAACTCTCGGGCATAAAAGGTAAGGATAACTAGGTAATCTACTACTGCATAGAATATAAACTGTTAACTGTTTGTGGTATTCTCTTGGATCTACTTGAGCTGTTTCTGAAAAATTTATGAGTATCATATTCATGAATACAAAAAAATAGAATCTTTCCCGAATACTGCAAGAAGTCAGAACAGTATGGAATTCCAGCCCTTTGTACTCTCTTGAAAGCGCAGGTTTAATTTTCCTTTCAAGAAGTTTCTCACGACAAATTTTGTTCAGCATATGGTATTGACATGTCTTAAGACAAGAGGGTTGCCTACGTATGAGCTGGCACTCATTCATTGGCCTTGCAAGGGGAGTGGCGTGGCCGGAAAGCCCGCGGGCGATAGCCTGCGAACAGGTTCCCGGCTTGGAGGAGCACAACGGCGCGAAGCGTGTCCCCACGTCTGATTGAACGGGGAGCCTGTTCGCAGGCTAGCGGGCAATGGTGAGCGATATTAGCGTGCGAGGGGTATGTCAGGGGACCCTTATATATCTTTCTCATCAGGGCTCGCTTCGCTCTTCGGCTCGAATCTCGCGGACTTCTCGGACGTGCGTGCTTAAGGTGATTCTTCAGAAGAAAAAGTTATCGGGAATTTTTTACTAAACTTTCCTTAAGATTCCTGCCTATGATGATTTCGAAAAATACAACAACGAAAAAAGATAGGTTCCGTGCTCATTTAAGAGCTTTTGAGACCATTGTGCCTCATATCAAACTGTTTCCCCACTGCGATGGACATTTGTTTTTGTCGGTTCCAGCCTGGCGCGGCCGCTAACCCAGATGCCCTCCTGAGCAAATTTTCAAAATGGTGGACAAGCCAAAGAGAGGGATAATAGAACCAAAGCGATTCTGCAACGAATACTCAGCATACACCCCTATTAAAAAGGTCATTTCATAGAGAAAAGATACAAAATTATATGATGATGAAGTCACGGAGGTTGACAAACCCAGCAAGAGACTGAAAATTCACTACAGTACACGCTTCGATTAGTGGAGACCCTTCGGGGACGGTGAACCATCTGAATATTTTCCGTTCGTTCGTAAAGAAAGCCTGTTTATTCCATCGAAAACATCCCTTGAGGATAGAACACAATCATTTTACTTCCAACTGTTTCGTGAAATAAAGAAAAGGCTTTGGTCTGGAAGGCTAGAGGACCCAGATATAAACATAAACCTCAACGTTGACCAGGATGTTTTTATGGAAGGTCTTGGTTGTGTTTTGCCTGGTATTGTTCATAGAGGGAAGATGGTTTATCGATTGCAGTCAAATAGGCTGCTTGATTCATATCTTGGGCTGACGTGGGACGAAAGAATTTTAAATCCAGCTGGAGATTTTGCCTATGTAATTCCAGGAACTGTCAAATACTGGCTGGGGCAAAGAAGTCCAATCACAGAATACAAAATCATTGGGGAGCAATACATTAAATCAGAAGTTCAAAACGGTTACTTTATTAATTTTCAGTTTGTAAGAGGTGATGGTAACAGGAACAACTACCATGCAAACAGATCAAATAAGAATCATTCAATCAGTGAAATAACAATCAACCAAAAATATGGAAATGACAATTTGTAATGAGTTTATGAGAAATGAAAGGTGATCTTATCGTGACTAACATTACCAAACTGAGGGAAGACTAGAGTCAGTAAATCCTCAAGCACTAAATCTTTTGTTTTGTAACATACTGGCATTAATTTAATTCTAGTTAATTTAAGGTTGACGTCTCGGCTTCCATTTGCCACTTTCCTGTACAAGATGTGTACAGCACACAGGAGCTGCACAATGTTTGCATGGTGATGTGCAGGTCTTGATGTTGTGGCCTTCGTTAAAACAGTTACTGCATTCATAAGTGTTCTTAACTCTTTCATATCCTGCTGCTTCTAGGAACTGAATCCTGTTTTTCTTCAGAAACAGTTGCTGGAGGGCATCAACTCCTTTGTGATTTGTAGATCTGAAAAAATCTTTGGAAGCTCTACCGTTGTATTTTTCCAAGCCTTGTTGTGTGTAATATGCAATGTTGTGATAAAGTGACAGGAACTCAGGGACATGGCAATGAAGTGCGTGCATGTAGGGAGTGACATCTTTTGCTTGGTACACGTTGAGAAAGAGTTCAAATCATGCTTTGATATCTCCTTGCAATTCAAGAATACTATCCTCAGATGTAAAATCTAGTTTTAAATCACCAATTATGTCCATAAATTTTTTCCAGATCACTTGTACATCTTTGTTTTTGCTGCATTGAGGAAGAAGCATAGGAATATTTATGTGCTGAAAGAGTTTCAGTTTTTCTGGTCCCATAAGATCTCTATATTCCAGCTTTTTACTGTCCTTGTTGATTCTAAAGTTAAAAGAGATCCCAATACTTTTGATTAATTCTTCGTAACCTGCCATGTGTTTATACTTTTCCCTTGGGAATCCATCAGAGAAGGTGGTTTTTTTTTCAATAGCATCACTTCTTCTCAATTCTCTTATGAGCAAGTCAATTAAAACATCTGAAATCCTGAGAAAGAGGTGCAATGTGTCTATGATGACATGATCCATGGGTATAAAATCAAATAAAGGTTTTCCTTTACAGTTGAATTTTTTTGCAGTGGAGAACTTTGCTATTTCCTCAATGGTTCTAGCACCAAATGTGGGGTCATTAATTGACCACTTTTTACTTGTGTCCCACCGTTGCTGCCTGGGACACTTGCACCACACACAAGCAT